CACAAGAATGGCATCCATGATCAATTGTGGACTGTCATTTAGCTAAACTACACTCATTTTTAAATTTTATTTAGTTATGGTATAAATGAAGAGCAATTTTTACTGATTTTCTCCAAATTTACCCTGCTTGTTGGGTTCTCCTGGTTTTTAATGCTAAAAATAATATTTCCAAAAATGATTTTAACTCAACAATAAAAGTGAACTTTATATTTTCATGATTAAGACAGAACATCCTGGAAATACTCAAAAGGCCAGGCAGCACCTATGGAGAGAGAAAAGAAAAAGTCATGAATATAGACCTGAAACATTAACAACATGTCTCTGACTACAGATGCTCCCCGACCTGAGCATTTTCAGCGTTTCCCATTCTCAGTTGCAATTTTCAGCATCTGCAGTATTTGGCTCTTTGATATTCACATATGGACAAAACACTATTATGTGCCTGCTATTAGGCAGACAGCATGCTAGCTTTAAGCATGTTCTGGTTTTGTTCTGTCATTGTGGTGTATCAGTGATTCTGCTATCTTCAAGTGCAGTCTGTTCCAAGCCCAAGTGTTTCCCAATTCATTGTTGTAATGAGTCAAAGAGTTTAGGGTGTCAATACGAGAAAAGAAACCCAATATCAAACAGGATGGACAAAGAATCAAAAAGTTTCAAATCGTCCTCTATTAATCTTCTGCAGGGTCATTTGGTGATTTGTTCTCTTCCCTGTTTCCTTTTTATCTCTTCGTTGGGGATTATATCTTGGGGGATAAGGTGATAGAGTGGTATTGTCACTGGACTAGTAATTCAGAAAGTCAGACTAACGCTTTGGAGAAACGTATTTGAATATCACCACAGCAAATAAATCTGAATTCAAAAGTTAGCTTAATATTGAGCATTAAGCCACGGTCAGTTCACAGTCAGATCCATCAGGGTCACTGATCTGGAGATCAACCCTTGTTCAATGAAGAGTACAGCAGGGCATGGCAGGACATGGCAGACATACTTAAAAATGAGATGTCAACCTGGTGGAGTTTTAACACAAAAGTACTTGCATGTCAAACAGCAGAAGCAGCATCTGATAGACAGGACTGAGTGATCCCATGACAAATTGATCAGATCTAAGCTCTGCTGTCCTGCCATGTCCAGTTATGAATTGTATTGGACAACTAAACAATTGACAGGAGGAGGCAACTCTACAAATATCCCTATCTTCAATGATGAAGGAGCCCAGCACAGGAAAGACAAGACTGAAGAATTTGCAAACATCTTCAGTCAGAAGTACCGAGTGGATGATCCATCTCAGCGTCCCCCTGATATCCCCAGCATCACAGATGCCAGTCTTTAGCTAATTTGGCTCATTCCCTATGATATCAAAAAATGACTGAAAGCACTGGATACTGCCAAGGCTATAGACCCTGACAACATAAAAAAAAGTACTGACAAATTGTGCTCCAGAACTTGCTGTACCCCTAGCTATTCTGTTCAAGTAGAAGTACAACACCAGCATTGCCTCTGAATATTGAATAGCATTGCCATTTCCAAATACGCCACTGTCCACAATCTGGGTTAATGTTAACCAAAATATGAAAAGGACCAGTGATGTAAATACAAGAGCCAGTCAAAAGTTAGGAATCCTGTGTTAAGTGACTCACTTCCCATTCTCCCCAGAGTCTGTCCATCATCTACAAGTCAGAAACAAAGTTGCTGGAAAAGTTCAGCAAGTCTGGCAGCATCTCTGAAGGAAAAAACAGAGTTAGCGTTTCAGGTCCGATGACCCTTCCTCAGAACTTTTTCCTTCACAGATGCTGCTAGACCTGCTGAGCTTTTCCAGCAACTTTGTTTTTGTTCCTGATTTACAGCATCCACAGTTCTTTTGGTTTTTATCTACAAGTCAGAAATGTGATGGAATACTCTACTTGTCTGCATGAGTGTGGCTCTAAGACCACTCAAGAAGCCCAGCAGCACCTAGGGTGAAACATCCATTTGATTGGCATCTCATCTACTACTTTCAACTTTCACTCTTGATGCACTGTGGCAGCATTGTGTACCATCAGTAAAATGCACTGGAGCAACTCATCAATGCTCATTAAATAATACATTGCAAACCAGTGATATTTACAAATCTAGAAGGACAAGGGCAGCAGATATTTGGGAACACCAGCATCTGTTAATTCCTTTCAAGACACATATCATCCTGACTTTGGAACATATTGCTGCCCGTTCACTACGGTACAGACAAAGTGCTGGAACTCCCTCCCTAACAGCACTGTGGTTATCCATAAACCCCAGGGACCACAGAGGTTCGAGGCAGAAGCTTACCACCTTCTCGATCACAATGAAGGATGGGTGATAAATGCTGGCTTAGCCAACAATACTCACATCCCATGAACGAGTCAAAACACTTGAGGTTCCCGTGATCTTAGAAGTAAAAGGTAAATAATAAGTCAATAGGATGGTGGCTGTAAAAACAACCATCAACCGCCTCTCCCATTCCACCACCATCACCCCACAAAAAAAAAAGCCTGTTGTTTCTACAACAGAAGCTGACATCAACAGTTAATCGTTGGCCAGGATCCACTACTGTGTGATAAAAAGTGTGCATTCTGCAAAGTGGTAGACAGTGAGAAGCATCTGCAGCAAGAAGTTTCAAGTAACTCAAAGCCAAAGCAAGTCTCAATCATTAAAATGTCCTAAGTTCTTTTAAAAAGCTCCTCTGCATAAAGAAACCCCTTCTATCCACATGTCTTTGAACCTGCCTTGCAGATCTCCAAGCAACCAGGTGGTAACTTTTCTTTCTGATAAAATTCAAAATATTTACACTGGAATTATGAGGGTCTGTCAGCACTTTCCTAAAAGTGAGTCAAGACTGAATACAATCTAAGGAACTGTGGATTTCAACAATTGTGAAATGCAAGTGAATAACATAAGTGGAGATTGTACCCAAGACAACTTAAGACAGTGGTGTTGTGTTTTTTTTAAAGAAATGAACTGCATTGTATGAACCTTCAGCAGCTCTGGCTGGATAAAAGCAGTTTGCTGGAACAAATGGAGTCGACCAGAGGGAAGAGCAATCACAGGCCGGAGGGTATTTGCATATTTTGGAAAATAGTCATAGAGACAGACAGCATGGAAACAGACCCTTCGGTCCAACCAGTCCACACAAACCTCAATCCCAAACTAAACTAGTCCCACCTGCCCGCGCTTGGCCCATATCACTCCAAACATTTCTTATTCACGTACTTATTCAAATGTCTTTTAAATGTCCTAACTGTAGCCACATCCACCACTTCCTCTGGAGGTTCATTCCACACATGAAACACTCTCTGCATAAAATAAGTTGCCTGTCATGTCTTTTTTAAATCTTCCTCCTCTCACCTTAAAAATATGCCCCCTAGTCTTGAAATCCCCCATCTTAGGGAAAAGACACCTGCCATTCACCTTATCTATATCCCTCAAGATTTCTATAAACTTCTATAAGGTCACCCCTCAACCTCCTGTGCTCCAGTGAAAAAAGTCCCTGACTATCTTCAAAATTCAAACCCTCCATTCCCAGTAACATCCCAGTAAATCTTTTCTGAAACCTCTCCAGCTTAATAATATCCTTTCTATAACAGGGCAACCAGAACTGGTCACTGTACTCTAGAAGAGGCCTCACCAATGTCCCGTACAATCTCACGTGATGTGCCAACTCCAATACTCAAAAGGTCTCAATAACGAAGGCAAGTGTGCTTAACCACCCTGTCTACATGTGATGCAAACTTGAAAGAATTATGTACCTGAACCCTGAGGTCTCTCTGGAATGGAGTAATTCTGAAGAATTAAACTGCATTTATTTCAAAGCTCGGGGGTCTTACAGGTAAGGCTGATGAACTCTGGGCATGTTTGGGAACATGGGATTGGGATGTCCTATCTATTATGAAATTTGGCCGAGGAATGGCCAGGACTGGCAGTTCAGTGTTCCAGGTTTCAAATGCTTTAGAAATGATAGAAAGGGAGGCAAGAGAGGATGGGAGGAGTGTTTTTGATTAAAGAAAACATTACTGCTCTAACTGCTCAGGATATCTCTGAGGGATCGTCCAGTGAAACTATATGATAGAAATTACAAGTAAAAAAAGGGATGATCACCTTGATGGGATTGTACTGTAGGCCCCCGGAATGGTCAGAGGGAAATTGAGCACCAAATGTGTAGAGATCTCTGATATATGTAAGAATAATAAGGTTGTAATAATCAGGGTTTCAAATTACTTCACATATGGAAGAGGGTGTGTATGTGTTAATCTCTACTCATTTTAAAAACATTTGCAAATCACGTCAATTTGGAAAGGGGAGAAGACAAGGATCAAGGAGGGGGAGGATGAGGTGAAGGTGATGTGGGGTATTGGGGGGCGGAACGGAGGGGTGCATAGTCGGGGGGGGGGGGGGGGGGGGGGGGGCGGGGGAGGGGGGGAAGGGGGGGGGGGGGGGTTGTGGGTGAAGGGGACTGAATCCGAGTCCCAGAACAGGAGCAAAGAGTGCAGCCGAGTTCTCGGTGAGGAGCCAAGGACCCGGCGGTAAAGTGGAGCTGAGTCCCAGGTGAGCAGCCCAGGGCCCGGGGGGTGATAGGTGAGGGAGTCGGGTCCCTCATAACCCCACCCCGTCAGCAACATGGGCGGGGGACTCAACACCAAACTCAACCAAGTTCACCTCCTCCATTGGGACGGCGGGGGAAGGAGGGTACAAACTCAGTTTGAAGACCACCCCCTTCGTCTCCCCCCCCAACCCCATGTCCCGTCAGAAAATGGCCGATGGCTGGCGGGGGGGGAGGAATGGGACTTGGAAAAGGCTCTTTGTGTCATCGGATTCCAGGATGATCGCTTCAAATAATCTCAAAATATGTTGATAATAATCACAATCCAGGTCTAGTGAGTGGATAAAGACACTGGTTTGTCGAGTTGAGGAGAATATGGGGGGGGGGGGGGTTGTTGGTTGAAGACAAGAGACCATTAAAGAGAAAGCCGAGGATAAAGAGACAGCCAGAACCAGTAGGTTCACTTACTTGTCCGTCTCCTGTGACATATTTCTCCGGCTCCTCTTGCGAAACTGGACTTTCAAGTCGGTGCGGTACCGTCTGACGGCAGAACCCGAGCTACAGGTAATTCCTCTTTTCGACTTTCTGCAGAACCGGTGCGATGAGTACAGTCCCACGATAACCCTGCACTACATGAGACTTGCAGGGCTGCATAAAGTATTGGGGGGGGGGGGGGGGTAGTAAAAATCAAAACCCCTTTCCTTTTAAAAAAAACCCAAAAAGTTCAGGGGCTACACTGTGGTTGGACGCTCAAAGTAATATATGATGAGGGAATTTCCAACAAAAAAACAAGTATGTAAATATACATAGATATGTGAGAAAATGCAGATTTCAGTTGGGTGAGGTGCTGGAGGTAAAAGTTGCGTTTTTTTCCTGGCTGAGCGCTTTCAGATTCCAGGGGGCGGCACCAACCTCGAAAACAGGTAAGTGACTGGATGAAAGGTGCATCGATCCGCCCACTTCAACTGCACACAGACTGAATCAGAGACAGCGAGATACTGTACCTGAGAGGGAGAGGGAGCAAGGGTGTTTAATCGGGGAGAATGTCGCACACAGGTGAATTCAAATTTTGACGCAAACACCAGGGGAAATGGAGAAGAGGTCATTTGAAATTTTTGAATAACGAGTAGACCGCTGGAGCACGGATTTTAATTGCTAAATCGAAGGAAAGAGTGTGAAGATAGAGCTAAGCAATTAAGATGAAGTTAAATAACTAAAGAAAATACTGTGTTACCGGTGGAAATAAGTGCCCGGAGAGGGATTGCAAGTACTGTTTATTGTAATAACATCACATAGGTCTTCCTGAAAGAGAATGTCACAATGGAACATATTAAGTGTGCTTGGAAAATTGAAAGGGTGCACTGGTGCTCTTTGTTATGTGTCTGTAGAAATGTATGGTTACCCCTTGTAAAGTACTTCTTGGTTAGGATTGCAGCATGATTGTTATTCATTCAATCGGAATATCAACAAGATGAGGTACACTGTCAACCACCTTCTGGTCTAACACCTGCTATTGGCACTGAAGTTGACTTGTAATTGAATAAAGTCACCCCATGAAGTTTTACCATTTTTATTTCTTCGAAAACTAACAATTTGGAGAAGTTCCAAGACAGTAACCTAATTTCAGGATTCAGATGACAGTTATCTAAACCACTTCAGTTTTAACACTACTTGATTAGATTACTACTCTGTGATTACACAAGATACAGTATCCATTATTCACCTTCCAATACAAACTTGTGTAGATGGCAGTTGTTAGCTTAAGGGATATGTGTGATAGGCAGTCTTCTACACTTATTATTGACACCTTTTGAGAAAGCCAAATTTGAAACATTACTTAAATCAAAATAGAAAATGCTGGAGAAACTCAGCAAGTCTGGCAGCAACGGTGGAGAAACAATAGAATTAAAGTTTTGAGTTCAAAGACTTAACTGTGCAGATCATGAAAATGCTTAGTTTGATCTCTAGTCTGTAATGAGCTAGTTGGAGAATGACATCAACTATTTGTCAATGTAATTTGAATAGGAAGTGGGGGGAATGCACCAATGGTTTCACGCTGATTGCTATTCAGTAGCTTCTGAAAAATACATGTCTTTTTGATATAGTGTCAGAAACAAAAACATAAAAGCCTGGTCAGGCAGCATCAGAAGAGTCATTTCAATGAGATGCCAGGGTGCTGGTCACTGATGAACCCTGTCCCAATATAGGACTCTAAATAACGGACTCTAAAATCTTACCAATGACCGAGGTCAGGCTAACTGGCCCATAGTTTCCTCTTTTCTGACTCCCTCACTTCTTAAACATTAGCCATTTTCCAGCCTTCTGGGACCCTCCTTGACTCCAAAGATCACCATCAGTGCCCCACAATCTCCTCACCTACCTCCTTCATGATCCTGGTGTGTAGTCCATCTGGTCCAGGTGATTTATCCACCTTCAGACCTTTCAGCTTCTCCAGCGTCTCCTCCTTAGTGATGATCACTACACTCATCTCTGCCCCCTGACTCTCCTGAAGCTCTGGTATGCTATGAGGTGCTGGTCAGCACAAATTCAACTGTTAGTGGACAGTGAATGAGTTTAGTGGAGCTATGAGGTCTGTGTTTCAAAATCCTGCGTCAAATCAGGCAAGATATTGTTTAAAGCCATGATCCAATCTGCTGGGACTTTCTGATGCACATCTGGCAAGGCTGCACTTGCTTCTTTCCAAACAAACAGTCCCATGTTAGCCATTCCATACAGACCACTTGGGCCACACAGACAGTCTCAGTTCACAGCAGTGGGTCCAGCCGAAATAAGACCTGCCCTGATTTGCCTTTTCAAAATGCAGCACCTCACATTTATCTAAATTGAACTCCATCTGCCACTCCTCAGCCCACTGGCCCATCTGATCACTGAAAAGTTTTCCCACTGCTACATCTAGCACTAGTCTGGGTTCGTTCCCTAAAATTAGGTCCAGCATCACCCCTCTATTACTGTTTTTTCTACTCACTGGATTATTACACCCTCCTGGACACATTTTAAGAATCCTTCTATCTCTGTGCCTTTCATACTTTGTCTACCCAGCTAATATTGGGAAAGTTGAAATCCTCCACTGTAACTACACTATTATCTTTATACTTCTGAGATTTTCCTGCTGCATTGAATGCTTCCACAGATTTCTGCTCATGTTTTAGATTTACATCATTTGTAATTGTTTGTTTATATAATATTGTCCAGTTTCTCTATTGGTAAACCCTGGATATAATCAGTTTCTTCATTGTTATGTTGTGCTTATCCTAATTTTTATCGACTGCTTTTCCCTCTACTCCCAATTTTCCAAAGTTAACTTTCATTGCTGACTCTCTACAACACTAAAAGTTTGATTGAAAATTCCAATATCTTGAACTACCTGTCAGATACATAGCCTTTTTGTGCTATGGCTCCTACCTCTCTTATGCTTTCTGCCATCTATCCTAATTATTCTCTCTCCCACCCCACAATACAGTATTATGAATTTCACCACTGATGTTTCAATATCATTCTCTATTCTGCTAAACATAATAACCTATATTGGGACAGAGTTCATCAGTGACCAGCACCCTGGCATCTCATTGAAATGACTCTTCTGATGCTGCCTGACCAGGCTTTTATGTTTTTGTTTCTGACACTATATCAAAAAGACATGTATTTTTCAGAAGCTACTGAATAGCAATCAGTGTGAAACCATTGGTGCATTCCCCCCATGTTCCTTAATATGTTCCATTGTGACATTCTCTTTAAGGATGAGATTGCAGAGTACTTGAAGTGCTTGGTAAAATATGACTGAGTCAGCATGGCTTCGTCAAGGAGAGGTCACACCTGACAAACCTGTTAGAATTCTTTGAGGAGGTAATGAACATGTTAGACAAAGAAGAACCAGTAGGTGTGATCAATTTGGATTTCCAGAAGTCCTCTGTCACGGTGCCACACAGGAGGCTGCTAAATAGAATAACAGCCCAAAAGGCAAAGAGTGGGGCTGAAGGAGTATTTTTTCAGGATGGCAACTAGTGGGTCAGTGTTGAAACCACAACTATTCATGTTATGCATTAATGATCTGGATGATAAAACTGAGGACATTGTTGCTTAAGTTTGCAGATGAGATAAAGATAAGTGGAGGGACAGGTAGTGTTGAGGAAGCGGAGAGGTTGCAAGAGGACCTTGACAGCCCAGGACAGTGGGCGGGGAAGTGGTGGATGGAATACAATGTGGGAAAGTGTGAGGTTATGCACTTTGGTAGGAAGTTTAGAGGAGTAGAATATTTTCTAAATCACGAAAGGCTTTGGAAAACTGAAGCACAATGGGATCTGAGAGTCCTAAATCAGTATTCTTTTAAAGTTAATATACTGGTTCAGTTAGCAGTTAGGAAGGCATATGCAATGTCAGCATTTATTTCAAGAGGGCTAGAATAAAAGAGCAGGGACACAGTGCTGAGGCTGTACAGTGTGCTGGTCAGACTGTAGTTGGAGTAATTTAAGCAGTTTTGCACCCCCGTATCTAATGAAGGTGTGCTGGCTTTGGAAGGGGTCCAGTCGAGGTTCATAAGAGTGATCCCAGGAATAAAGGGCTTGGCATATGAGGTGTGGTTGAGGATCTGGGCTCCATACTCGATGGAGTTTAGAAGGATGAGAGGGATCGCAATGAAACTTACAGAAAACTGAGAGGCCTGGAGACAGTAGATGTGGAGAAAATGTTTCCATTAGTCAGAAAGAATTGGACCCAAGGGCAGAGCCTCAGAGTGAATGGACAACCCTTTAGAACTGAGATGAGGAGGAATTTCTTCAGCAAGTGGGTGGTGAATCTGAGGAAGTCATTGATACAGAAAGCTGCGGAGGCCAAGTCATTGAGTGTCTTAAAAACAGAGATAGATAGCTTCTTGGTTAGTAAACAGATCAAAGGATATGGGGAGAAGACAGGAGAATGGGTTTGAGGAAAGTATCAGCCATAATTAAATGGCGGAGCAGTCTCAATGGGCCGAATGGCCTGATTCTGCTCCTATATCTTATGGTGTCTAGCCCTGTTTAAAGGGTCATTAGTGCAACTTGCTGGTATCGTCATGTTGCCTCCTTCGGCAAAGTTTGTGTAAGTATTGGGTGGTGTTATTGGAGGTGTTGTGGTGAGTTGCTGGATTTGGCAGGGAGTGTCATTACAGCCTAATGAGCAGCACAGTGAATTTCGAGATCAGTAGTTGCATTGCCACTTGGTTTGTAGTATGCTGATAAGAAGCAACAGAGACTGCAGATAGGGGAATCTTGGTGTAGAGGAAAGAACGGGTACCTGGGATACCATTTTAAGCTAATTCACCACTGCGCCAATACTATCCTCCTGAAGTTGTGAGCACTTATGAGATCTGGCTGTATAGGTACTGGCATGCTAAGTGTCTCCCCTAATGGATTGCTTTTCTAGTGGATACTAAAAGCATGGGCAGTATTTTTAATCACAATCCCTTCATCTGGCTGCAATGTCGGTCAGGAATCTACTGATATCTGCAGCAAGACCCAGAGGGAGATTTTGAACAAGACAGTTAAATTGGTTCCAAAACTGGAGGGCCAATGGGAGACCATCTAGCACTTGCAGGATTGACAGCCCCACCATCAGTGGTGGACATTGCTGAAGTAGGTGGGCAAATGAGAGGACGCCTCAAGATGGAGATCCCCCCTGAACACTGTCCAATATTTTAAAATCCAATGTAGCCACAGCTGCCAGACCAGCATTGTGGAGAGAAATCCCTCCAATCACAAAATTGTGAGGGTGCAGAAGGAGGCCATTCAGCCCACTGCCTATCCCAGAAGCACCAAAGCATGGCCTGTGCTCTAGCTCAAGTCCTCTGGCAGAAGGAGTGAAGTGGGGATCAAGAATTAAATGAGGCGTTGCTGGGTTCCCCAGCCTACCACCTGACATGGATGGAGATGGTTTTCCAGGTTTCAACCTCAGCAGGGACGCCAGAAAACACCTAGCGGATGTGAAGAGTATCTGTAAAAAGCATCGTCATTGGCTGCCCACCACTGGCACATGACAGCAGTGCAGCACATTGGTTGAGAGCATAAAGTTGCTGACATAGCACCTTCTTACCCCAATGAAAATGTATCCCAATGTGCCCATGAAGAAATCATCTTTCCTAACAGTGCCATCGTTAATTTTTGCCTTCTTGCCAAAGCCATTAAGCTGACCCTGAGAGTGCACCAACTGGGGTCAGTGGGGAAACGGAAGGCACAAACTTAGCTTGGTCTTTTGTGCTAGGTGTTGGTGCTCCAACATGGCCAAAACCTGCTCCCACGCCTGTATATTTTCTTTCTAAGCATAATACGATTGTGGCCATTAAAGCAAATTACCTTGAAAAGCAAGTCTAAACTGTCAGTTCATATCCATGGTTTTCAAACCACAGGTATTATGTTGTACTCCCTTCTAACCACATCTCCTACGCACCGTCAGATGGGTGCGTAGACAGCCTGCACCCAGGCAGAACAAGCCATTTGTTGCTGTAACCTTTCTCAGACAAGATCAGTAACTTCCTGTACAGTGTGTGTGGAAGAGGAAAAAAGTTAGTGAGCATCTTTGTATCCTTTCTTTATTCTGAAGGAGTTGGGTGAAATGTACCAATCAAAGGCATCTGATGATCTGAGCAGCTCATTGTGAGATAAGGAAAATGTTTGACTACTAAAATCATCCTGTTCAAAATAAGACCTGAACCAAAAATTAACGTGGGGGATTTGCAACCAATGCACAGTGGCAGAATCTTTGGAAAATACATGTTGTTCACAGCTATCATTCAGGGATAGGGTCTCCAGATACTCTTGAGAGGGATGTTCATCCTAATAATTGTTGTGCATTCATTGTCTGTGGATTTCACATCATGCAGACAATACACTTCTCGCAGCAGAGGGATATCTGGTGCAGCAACAATCCCAAACTATAGAATTGGCAAATAGAAACCTGTATAAATAAGTGCCTCAGGGAAGCTGTAGATTCCTGATTCCTCACATTCCTTTTGCCATGTCATACTCTATGAGCTGTGGAATGGAGTCTCTGTGGAAAAATACAAGTATCAACACAGACCTTCACAGAAACAAGCTGCAGGCAAAACGATCTGAATGCTCAATTTGATTTCGTAAGTTACTAGTAAGTCATTCAAATGCATCTTCAGACCAGAGCAGGGTTCAGATGTTCATCATGAGTACAGGATCCAATCAGCAAGTGGGTTTCCAATTGTAAGTCTGATTGTTTTCATCTGATGAACACAGGCATAGAATTTGCAGAAAAATATAATTAATCTGTCATGATAAACATCCCTTGGCCAAATGTTTCTCCTTTCCCCTCCAGTGAAGGCATTCCTTCTTAGGCTACTATTTTATTGGCACTTGTCCACATAAGATGTATCCAATACGAATATTTGCACGTAAACTATTTGACAAAATGGCCATGGCCACATCTAAGTACAGATGTCCGTCCATAATTGATAAAGGGTCTGTGGATAATTGCAGGACTGAGAGGCATGACTGATTTTCTCCTTCTCATATTGAAGTGTTGAGCTCATAGTAGTATGCCTATTATGAATTATAGTGAAATTTAGACTCTGTTATTATGTACGTAACATGATTATTTATCTGAATAAACAGCAAGGAAAGAAATTACTAGTTAATCTGAATTTGCAGTAGTAGTGGAAAGGCATTTGGAGAAGAAAATAAAACACAAATTTAAATGCCGTCTTATTTGTCTACAAGATTCCCTAAACCACGTGTTATAATAAAATATTTTGAGAACTCTTTGTTGCTCTTCTGGTAGAGCTTTGGGATATGAACATCAATTTAAATTTAAACAGGCAGACTGGACTTTTTTGTAACGGCTACATAAGAGCCCTCTGTCAATGTAAGACTCTCTTAACGCTGCCCTGGACTGTCATTCCTGATATGTGCTTAAATCATGAAATGGAAATTCATCCTAGCAGTGTCATTAGTGATGTAGGGCAGGCTCCCATTGAATTCCCATCACAAGAGGGCAAGGCTGAAAAATCAGAGAAGTCATTAATGCAGTAACAGTAGATGTGTTTGCTTTTTGTAGATCAAGTCCAATAAATGCAAGCTTTTTTTGAGTCAAAGCAGAGGTAGACCAAGATACTATTGGCCTTCTGAAATCCTATGCAATCTCCAGTCAGCCAGACTCTGGAAGCACCACAATGACCGTGAAGAAAAATAGTCAAAATGCCAGGCCTACTCCTCTGTCAAAATTTAAAAGCAGGAGGAGGGGAGGACACTACTACAGAGACAGAGGTGATGGAAAATCTGAGACAGTTAAGGAAGCGGCGATATGCCTCATTATTCCATTTTCCACTGCCTGATCCCAATTTTGGAGGAATCTAGGCTTGATTGGACAAATAGCAAAACTAATGAAGGGAGCTACCATAGTCATTATAGAATTACAGCAAACAAAGCCTGTGGTGTTATCATGTATATTGTTTTGAGTGCTGTGTTCTTCTTTGTTGTGTTAACAAGTCCTTTCAGTTCTTGATCAAGAATCTAGTCCAAGGTAATAGACTGAAGGAATCCTCTTTCTCCTGATTATGAGCAATCTGTGTTAATGAATTACCTTATTGCCTCTTTGAAGCAAGCTCCAAAGGCAACTCAGTGTTATAAATATGGACTGACTAAACAAAGCTGGCCTGTGATATTTAGGTTCCTTTATTCTAAGCACTGTATATACCCCAAATAATACTGTTTCCTACACATTTCTGTTTAAGTAAACAAAGATGTTTACACACATGGACAGGAATGTTAGCAGAATACTGTATTTTATTGCTAGAAGAAACAATCCATTTTCTTCTTAACTCTTGGTTTCTGCAGATCATGAATAGAGGAAAACAAAAGGTTTTATGGATTTTATGGATTTTTGTTAACGTTAAAAGCACCACTGCTATCAGCTCATCAATGTTACATTCAGTTAACATTTGGCATGAAAAGGCCTAAAAGCTCCTTCCACAGCCTTATCTTCTGGAATCCAAAATGTAGGTAGTAACTGGCAGTAGGTTTAACCATCATTGTAAGACTAGTCCTTTTTATTATCCTCTAGCCACATACATTGAGGCCCATTTCAAATTGCTGCACTGCTAGCTCAGCGCATAGTCTGCAGTAAAATCCTGAATGCTGGCAAGGACTATTACATTGGTGACAAAGTATAGGAAACATCAAACATGGCTCAACCTTTCCAAACCATCAATCACCTACGTCCTATTTGTTCTTAAATTTGGCATCATAATCCAGTTCCACTACTCCTCTCAGCAGTCATTTCCACACCTTCAACGTCAATTTAAATTATTCGTCTCCTTCTGACCTTCAGTCAGTGCCACCTTTTAAGGTGTGACAGCTAAATGTATTTTTCAGATTCAATTTATCTATACCTACCCCTCAGAACCTTGAATAATTCAGTGACATTCCCCTAGGCTTCACTTCTGCAACCAATGTTCCCAGATTTTTTAGTCTCTTTAGCTCAAGTGTCTAAAACTTAGTTCAAATTTACTCACTCTTTGCTGTTCACCTGTCCAAAGTCAAAAAAATCTCAACAGCAATTGTGTGGAGTTGAACCAATGTGTTTAGAAACTCGCTATCATGAATTGGGATTGCTACCATAGCCCTCTTTGTAGATATCCTAGGATCTAATGTTCCTCATTTACTGATGCTACATTCTGTGTTCACAGTTTCAACGATCGATTCATGAATATCCCCCAGGTCTTTTTGCAAGTTGTTCCTTGGGTGCATTTGTGCTCTGAGCCTGCAGGAGCCAGATTGACCAACTCTCAAGAAAGAAGATGAGTCAGTTTGGCATGGAATTTTGGCATGTGAGTCTGTGGGCAACAAGGGATGCTGATGAGACTTTTGGCAGGCGCTGTCTCGACCATTGGTATTGGGGGAAGTACCTGTCTGGAAGTGTGGGAAGGATGTGTGGCCTCCCAAACAATCGGAGCAGGAGCAGGGGCTGAGTCCCTGTCGTATGGGAGTGGGTCACTAGGAGAACACCACAATGCACATTTAAAGGACTTTACTTGCAGACATCATGGATGTTTGGAAACAGAGGGGACCAACATGACATAAATCTCTCAGCAGCATGGCGGCTTAGAGGTTAGAATACTGCCTCACAGCAGCAGGGACCCATTTTTGATTCTAGCCTTGGGTGATTGTTTGTCTGTGTGGAGTTTGCATGTTGTCCCCATGTCTGCGTGGGTTTCCTCTGGGCACCCAGTTTCCTCCCAAGTCCAAAGATGTGCAGGGTAGGTGGATTGGCCATGCTAAATTGCCCATAGTGCCCAGGGATGTTTAGGTTGGGTGGGTTAGACATGGGAAAGATAGGGGTAGGGGAATGGGTCTGGGTGGGATAATGTTCGGATGGGCGGTGTGGACTTGTTGGGCCAAATGGTCTGTTTCGACACTGTAGGGATTCTATGATATAAATGTGTGTTGTTGAAAATAAAAATTTCAATGTGCCACTTGAGTTGTTTCTGTGAGTTACTTGTCACCATTAAATATAATGTAAAATGTCTGTAACGAATGGGTAGTATCTACGTACAGTGCATTGTACAATATACATCATGAAGTAGTGAGGGGCATAAGCTATGATTCTCTGGTGGGACAACTGTGCTGCAAGCTGGGCTGATTGGGAGGAGAGGCTAGGCACTTTGTCAATGGGGTTGAGTTGAAGCATTAGAGCACCAGAGGGACAGTAATGTAGCGGTCATAACACTGTCTACTGCTCTCGGGGTGTATGCTCAAATGATGGAATTTAAAGTCAGTAAACCTGGGCTGGTAAACTAGTCTATTGGTAACCAAAAACCCAAAATTGTGAAAACCCTTTAGAGAAGCTAAAGGTGAGGTGAATGGACCAAAATGTGGCAGATGCAGTTTAATGTGGATAGTTGTGAGGTTATCCATTTTGGTCAGAGAGTATAAAGTCAACGAATTGTCGAAATGGAGAGAAACTTCAGGGTGCTTCGAGGCAGAGGTATCTGCATGAATTGCAGAAAACTAGTATGCAGATAAGGCAGGAAATAAGATAAATGAAACTTTGGCATTTATTGGTAAAGGAATAGAGTATAAAAGTAGGCAACTAGATAAGGCATTAGGGAGACTGCACCTGGAATGTTGTGTACAATTTTGGTCCCCTTGAGGAAGGCTGTAGTTGCATTGGAGGCATTCGGAAAATGTTCACTAGATTGATTCCAGAGATTAAGTAGTTTAGGCATACACTCTCTGGAATTTAGAAGAATGAGAGGAGATCTAATTGGGGTATATAAGCTGCTAAAGGGGATTGACAAAGTAGACATAAAAACAATGTTTCCTCATGTGAGGTAATCCAGAATGAGAGATCATAGTTTTAGGATCAGAGATAGCAGATTTAAAGGAAGTGATGAGAAGAAATTTCTTCCCTCACAGGTTGTAAATCTGTGAAATTCACAACTCCAGAGTGCACTGGATGCTGGGACACTGAATAAATTTAAGTAGGAGATAGGCAGATTTTTAATTTAGTAATGGGTTGAAGGGTTATGGACAGTGAGCAGGAAAGTGGAATTAAGGCTGAGATGAGGTCAACTGTGATCACATCAAATGGCAGAGCAGGCTCGAGGGGCTGAATTGCCTACTCCTCATCTTAGTTCTTATGTTATTATTTTCTTAAGCACCAAATTTTAGCTGTCTTGCAGGATAAGTAACTGAACTACGTGTATCTGTGCAGGAGAAAGTGAGTTAAGTCCCAAGTGCAGTTACATGTCTCTGTACTGTTAGAACTCAAGCCAAGTTATAAGTGTTAGGAGGCATCTTAGTGTTGTAACCAAGGCTTAGGAAAAGTTTTGAAAGTTGTGGTGGCTCAAATAATCTGTGTGCCATCAGTAGATCAGTGTAGTTGAAATTGGCAGTTGAAAAGCAATGTGCAGTGTCTGCTTGATGTAGCTGACCAAGGTTGGAGTTCAGGGAAGATGTGGCTTGGTGAAGCAAGTCATTGGTGAAAAGTTGGAGTTGTATCAGAGAATAAATACTGGAGTAGAATTTTCAAAGTCAATGGAAGAATGGACTCAGGAAGGGAGAGAAATCTGATAAATCCCTGGGACCTGTTCAGGTGAACCCTGGAACTCTGTGGGAAGCTAGGGAAGTGATTGCTAGGTCCCTTGCTGAGTTATTTGTATTATCGATAGCCACAGGTAAGGTGCCAGAAGACTGGAGGTTGACTAACGTGCCACTATTTAGGAAGCGCTGATAAGGAAAAGCAAGGGAACTATAGACCGCTGAGCCTGACATCAGTGGTGGGCACGTTGTTGGAGGGAACGCTGAGGGCCAGGATTTACATGTATTTGGAAAGGCAAGGACTGATAAGGGATAGTCAGCATGACTTCATGCATGGGAAATCATGTCTCAGTAACTTGATTGAGCTTTTTGAAGAAGCGACAAAGAGGATTGATGAGGGTAAAGTGGTGGATATCATCTATATGGACTTCAGTAAGGTGTTTGACATGGTTCCTCATGGTAGACTGGTTAGCAAGGTTAGATCACATGGAATGCAGAGAGAACTAGCCATTTAGATACAGACCTAGCTTGAAGGTAGAAGTCAGAGGGTGGTGGTGGAGGGTTGCTTTTCAGATTGGAGGACTTGGCGCTGGGTCCACTGATTTTCGTCATTTATGTAAGTGATTTGGATGTGAACGTACGAGGTATGGTTACTAATTTTGCAGATGACACCAAAATTGAAGGTGTAGTGGACAGCAAACATGGTTACCTCAGAGTACAATGAAACCTTGATCAGATGGGCCAATGGGCCAAGGAGTGGCAGATGGAGTTTAATTTAGATAAATGTGAGGTGCTGCATTTTGGAAAGGCAAATCAGGGCAGGACTTATACACTTAATGATAAGGTCCTGGGGAGTATTGCTGAACAAACAGACCTTGAAGTACAGGTTTGTAGTTCCTTGAAAGTGGAGTCATAGGTAGATAGGATAGTGAAGAGGACATTTGGTGTGCTTGCCCTTATTGATCAATGCATTGAGTATAGGAACTGGGAGGTCATGTTGTGGCTGTACAGGACATTGGTTAGGCCACTTTTGGAATACTGCATGCAGTTTTGGTCTCCCTGCTATAGGAAAGATGTTGTGAAACTTGACAGGGTTCAGAAAAGATTTACAAGGATGTTGCCAGGATTGGAAGGTTTGAGCTATAGGGAGAGGGTGAATAGGCTGGGGCTTTTTACCCTGGAGTGTTGGAGGCTAAAGGGTATATAACGTCATATATAACGTCATGAGGGGCATGGAAAGGGTAAATAGACAAGGTCTTTTCCTTGGGATGGGGGAGTCCAAAACTAGAGGGCAAAGATTTAAGGTGAGAGGGGAAAGATTTGAAAGGGATCTAAGGAGCAATGGTTTTACGTGGAGGGTGATGCGTGTATGGAATTAGCTGCCAGAGGAAGTGGTGGTGGCTGGGACAATTACAACATTTAAAAGGCATCTGGATGGGTGTATTAATAGAAAGGGTTTGGAGGGATATGGGCCAAATGCTGGCAAATAGGACAAGATTAATTTAAGATATCTGGTCAGCATAGAAGAGTTGGCCTAAGGGTCTGTTTCTGTGCTGTACAACTGTATGACTCTCTGATTGCAACAGCAGCAACTGTTGAGCTGGGTGGCTTTTGAGGGGGAGTTTCAAGACCAGATTAGCAAAATTAAGAATTGTAATTCCTTATGAGATTTGATAACTAACTATATAACTAATGTGGGAGTTGCTGAGAAATCTGTGTGATCTATCATGATCGCATTTGATATTTGATATGCATTGAGCGGTGCTCAATCACAGTATGTTACCCATTTTTACCACATGTCAATTCTTAGTGTTGGAAATAAGTTGCCCATGTATTGTAGATTGTATAACTGTTTTAACCTACATGGTAAAATATTATTCTTTGTTCAAAACTGTGAAACCTTATGGTTTTGGTCTCTAAGTAAATCCCCAAATATCACATTCTGTCTTCTATAAATATAATGTTACTGGTCCAGATTGTAACATAATTTGCTCATCTTGTCTAGGATCATTACTTAAAGTTGTTTATCAAATCTGGGATCATAACTCATTTAATGGCATTACCATAAATGAATCCCAGACTATGAACATTCTGGAGGTCACCATTGAGTAGAAACTGAACTGGGTGAGCCTTATGATTACTGTGACTGCAAGAGCAGGTGTCAGGCTGGGAGCAAGTATCTCAGCTCCTGACTATTTAAAGCCTGTCCACCATCTAGAAGGTGCAAGTCAGGAATGTGCTGGATTTCTCCCCACTTGCCTGGATGTGTACAGCTCCAAAACACTCAGGAAGCTCAACACTATACACAATAAAACTGCCCATTTAACTGATACTCCTTAGACATTCACATCCTCCACCACTGAAGCAGAGTGGCAATAATGTGTACCATCAATAAAATGCATTCCTACAATTCACAAAGGGTCCTTCAACAGCACCTTCCAAACCTGTGACTTCTACCATCTAGAAGGACAAAGGCAGCAGATCAAGGAGTATACCACCACCTTCAAGTTTCCCCTCCGAGCCACTCACCATCCTGACTTGGAAATATATCACCATCCCTTCACTGTCACTGGGTCAAAATCCTGGAACTAACCCCCCCACCCCAAGAGCATTGTGGGTGTCCCTACGCTCCAAAAATCTTTGCTGTTCAACAAGGTAGCTCACACCATGTTCTCAGATTAGTGATGGGCAATAAATGTTGGCCAGCGAGGTCTACATCCCATGGACAAATAAAAAGAAATTTCACTGTCAGATACATCTGCAAATGATCATTAAGCAACAACACTCGGAGCCTGCAACTGTGGTACCTATTAATTACTATATCTGGGAGAAACTAAAAACAAGACAGAAAATGTCAAAACAAACACTGTCTAAAGTGGCAGGTTCAACTCACCCTTTGCTAACCACTGCGTGACCATGCTGCCCTTTGGTGCTTTGCGTTGATAATTGGTGCAGTCAGACAACCAGGGAGGTGGTGGTGGTGCTGTGCAGCGATCCTGAGTCAGGAGAACATGCACCTTGCCTACATCAGTGTGGCACACTAGTCTGTCAACTGTACCACATAACCTCAGTGTTCATGCCAAACACATGGCATCTGCAGCAAAAAGTACAACAGATTAGAAAATCTTAGGGGAGTAGTGTACACTGAAGTCTATAGTGGCACCAGTGAGTCAGGGGGTTCCAGCATGGTTAGTCAAGGGTAACCTCCCATAGCCATTCCAGGCCTTGGCCATGGTCAGGTATCCAGTCACAGTGGTGTCGCTCTGGGGATCATGGTTAGTCCTTTGTCTCCATAGGGGCCAACAGCAGGATATTGCACTTATGAAATGTCTTTCTACAGCACTGCCCAATCCTCCTCACCCTGGGGTTGGCACTGACTAGCAATATCAGACCAGGCTGGCATGGTGTAATGATGCGACTCTCTCCACCAGTGCTCTGGAAAGAGGAGTCATCTCCTCCCCACCATCCAAATCACAAAGAACTCCAGAGGCGTCTCAGAGAAGCGTGGTGTCAGCCTCACCCTCTCTACCATCTCTTCTCACTCCTTCCACAGCTGAGCAAGACAGCTTTCAGATGGTGCAGACACGCCGTAGGCTTTGGAAGATGACACAGCTGCAAAGTATGTTGGTCTTAGGGAGAACCTCCACCTTGTGGTGAGTTACTCAGGATGACAGGTGGTGGGATGGGCCTGAAATCAGATGTGATTCTCAAGCAGCAAGTGCTGAGTTTAGTAAGAAACTGCAGGGAAACTCTCTTGGCTTCAAGGTGAGAATCCCTCCACTGAACTCCACACAGCATGCACTTTGTCCAACAACAGTAAGATTCAGCCCATTGACTAAGACCAGCAACAGGGATTGGTGGCAGTCAATTTACCTGAATCATCCGAGATGGTGCCAGCAGAAACCACTGCTGGCAATGATGGCATCCAAACTGAACAAGAGCCAATGCATGTATGATACGTACCTGAGGCCCAGCACCGTCGCTAATACCCAGGCCACAGGTTAGTGACGAGTGGGGGGACAGCAGCAGGGTGGGGGTTACAGGGAAGAGCGGTCAGGCTAGGAGTGGGTATCTCTATTGAGGGCAGTGGAGTGTTTCTCAGTGGGTGGCCACTTCCTGAAGGCATGTGCTTCCCTCTGTCCCCCTTGGCCGGTTAAATCCCTATTGCCCTGCTGAGTTCAAGGACCTCAACAGTGGTGATGGGGAGGTGGGACGGCTGTCCATTGGCATCCCACCACATGGGGTTGGAAGCAGGGAAACAGTGGGATCCCCAACTCCACCCACTCACCTGATTAAATGCCCTCTGCTGCAAAACTGACCTTGAAGAAGGGCATTAAATAATGCCGATGTTTAAACTCGATACTCTGTCACTAGATCTTTACATTTAGACCTTTAGTAGCATTTTGTTTTATGTTAGATTCTGAAAACACTACTCTTGACAACTTGTGATTTCACTGCTTGCATAAGAGAGCTGTGCAAAAAGGTCGGAAAAAGAGTCCAAGTAATTCTCTTCGGAGTGTGCCAGCAATAGCTGGAGGACCTATATCAGGCTTCAGTGACACACCCGTAAAGTGTAGAGGCCTAAAGCTGAATAGATAATTTCAGAATGCAGCATGACCCTTCCCCCAACACACACACATACACGAGACACACAAATTACAGCTCAGACCAATCCTTAGAATTAGGCTGTTAATTACACGGTAGGCACTGTTCCTTCAAGATTCCCATAATCATTAAAACCCCTTCAGAAAAACAGAAGAACTCTCAGCAGTAGGAAACGGTATATGGTGATAAATGTAGGTGTTATCATCACTATCTATTGTTATGTTAACTGAAACTGTCCATGGGACATTTATTGAAGCATTAATTGAATTGTTAACTAATCTATGAATGTAAACACAGTTCGGTGTAAGTGAATGGTGAGAAAAGTGTTTCAATCGCCATATAAGTGAAAATACTTCGCACAATCAGAAGGTAAAAGGCTCAGGTCACCAAATTCTTATGGATGAGGAAGACCAATTTGTTCAATGTAATTAATGTGTACAGAAAAACCTAAGAGGCCGACATTGCTGCTTGAAACTTATGATTTAATAAAATTTAGTTAAAACATCTATAAGAAGGGTTCTGGTGGTGCAGTTGTATTGGCCCTATCTCGGAGCCAGGAGATGTGGATTTAAATCCCACCTGCTCCAGAGGTGTGTCTGAGTAGTTTGCATTTTTAAAAAAAAATTACCTACATAAATGTAAGATCACCTTTCAAACAGTTTCTGACATGAAAAGTCTTATTTTAACCTTCCCTCAGAATTCAAACCCCTGACATGAGGATCAGTTTCATAGTTCTTCACAGCTTTGGCATCAGGGACCAAATACCTCCTTTTCTCACTTGATGATTACAGCAGGACATAGCACTCGAGCTGCAGTGTGATCAGAACAAATGTCAAAAAAGGAGAGTACGACTAGCTGAGCAAATCTTACAGATGGTGGCACTCACCGAGGCATTTACAGAATATTCCATCACATTTCTGACTTGTGCATTATAGATGGTGGCTTTGAGGAGTCAGGATTTGGGTTATTTGCCTTAGAATTCCTAGACTCTGACCTACTCTTGTGGTCAAAATATTCAAATGGCTGGTCCAGTTCAATTTCTGTTCGATGGTAACCCCCATTGACAGCTAGGGATTGGAAAAGATAATACCATTGAGTATCAAGGGGGGACAGTTAGATTCTTTCTTGTTGAAGACAGTCATTGCCTGCCCTTTGGGTGGGAAGTATGTGTCCAGCTACTTATCAGCTAAATGTTGTCCAGGTCTTACTGCCTATTAGCAGCGACTGATTCAGTTTGTAAAAAAATTGGAAATGGTACGGAACACTGTGCAATTATCCATAATTATCCCCATTTCTGACTTTTTGATAGAGGGAACACTCTTGAAGCATCTGAAGATGATTGGGCCTACAACACTACCCCGAGGAGCTGTTTGCTCTTCTGTGCAGTGGTAATATCCACATCTCTGACCCAGGAGGCCTGAATTCAAGCCCTACATGCTCCAAAAGTCTGCAATGACATCTCTGAACAAGTTGATTAGGAAAATATCTACCCTGAGGAACGCCTGCGGAGATTTCCTGGAACTAAGATGACTGACTTCCAACAACCACAACCATTTTCCTTTGTGCCAGGTATGACTCCAACCAGCAGAGAGTTTGCCCTCCTTCTCCCTTTGATTCTAGTTTACTACAGGCATCCTTGATGTTGCACCCAGTCAAAGGCCGTCTTGATATGTAGGATTCACTGTACAGATCATTCAGAGCATACTGTGACTCATTCATATTGCTGTTCAGTGTTCTGTGAACATCTCGGCATTGGTTCGTCAAAAGTTCAACACAGGATTTACTAAAACTCCCAAGGCTCTATCTATATTGACACCATCCTGACATATTCATTTCATCACTTTTTCCTTCTTGCACGTATCATTATAAATTTATAATCTGCTTTAAATTAATCTGGCACATTCACATGTTCTGTTTGGCTCATTCTGTAATATTCACACTTCCTCCCTCAGTTTCACTATCTGCCTAAGTTCTGTTCAATTTGTATAATTTGACTATTTTACAATTGAGACTCTGAATCAAAGTAATTGACATCAATCAGAAACATTAGTGGTCCCAACATGCAAAAGTGGTGTCCAGGTTTCGGGCAATTAAATGGTAATGGGAGTTGGAAACTCTCCCACTTCTCCAAAGGTGAGGCCTGGGCTACTTAATGTCTAGGGAGTGATGGAACATTGCATTACTATACTCCACCATCAACACCACTTGATGGGATCGGCTTTGGGGCCATTTTGCATGGGTCTCATATTGAGGAAGAGGATCATGCTTGTGGCATAAGGGGACTCTGTTTCCCTGGCAGGTCCTGAATGAGTATTCTTGTCCCTCGTGGTTTTGTGGGGTGCAAAGAAAGCATCATCCAGCCCTGGCTCCCTTTCCCATGTCTTCTCCTGATGGGATAATGGCATCAGTTTTTCTGCTCAGGCCACTAGTTAAAATTGTCGTAAAATAATAATCATCAAGATCAAACATTTGCAAGTAAAGACTAATACCTGCAATGAGGTATTCCTTATGAGGAAAGGCTAGACAGGGTAGGCCTATATCCTCTGAAGTTTGGAAAAGTCAGAGGTGACTTAATCAAAACATTAGAGGTGAATTAATTGAAAGCTTGACTGGGTGGATGTTGAAAGAATGGCTCTTCTTGTGGAAGAATCTAGAACTAGAGAGTCGTAGCTCAAAAATAAGGGGACGCCCATCTAAGACAGAGATGAGGAAACTACTTTTTTTCTCAGAGGGTTGTGAATCTTTGAATTTCCTTTCTCAAAAAGTAGTGGATGAGAATTGTTAAATATTTTTAAGGCAGAGCTAGATCGATTCTTGATCACCAAGTGGATGAAGGAGTATCAGAAATATGCAGGAATGTAGAGTTGAGGTTAAAATCAGAGCAGCCATGATTTTATTGAATGACAGAGCAGACTCAAATGGCCTACTCTTATTTCTTGTTTGTATGTTTGTGTGATCTGCTAACATTCAACAGTATAATTACTGCTGTGTGATATATTTAGTTATTGGAAAGTTGAAATTGGTGTGCCTGGTGGGTAAGCATTCTGGTCAGTACTCACTGTCCAGTTTCTAGCAAGGGATTAGGGTTAAAATGACCAACACTATCTTTGAAGCCCAGCCGAGCCCCCAGTCAAGCACTGCTACTCTCCGGCTGTCCTGCATGGTACCTGTCAACTGCCGCAGAAATGTCGAACTGAGGGAAGTTGACTGTCTGCTTTGCCAACAGGAGATCTGGCGGTCCTGTTGGACAGGGGGAGCATGCAGTTTCTGCCCTTGGAGTGTGCCCTGAAATGTTGGTGCCACATGTTCAAAATGGAGGGGAGCTAGAGGAGCTGGAATCGTCAAGTACCCTCTTTGACCTTCATGTCAGGAATAGTTGCTGTCTAGTTTCTAGACAGATGGGAGAATAGGAAACTGCACGTCAATGAGGTGAGATAATACAGTAAGGATGTTAATGCACGTTAATCAGTACCTTGCTGCTCACCAGTGAGGAATCTCAACTCACCTTTCAACACTTGGTTTGGAAAATAGAACTCTTTGCTTTTGACTTCAGGAGTTATTTTACTGATGATCACCCAACTTTTTCACCATTGCCCACATCATTCAATGCCTGGGAAGATTCTGCCTTATGTTTCTATTAATATGCAGATATATCACTGAGGGTAGCATTGAGTAGAGTCAGGGACTTCATCATTTGGGGAGAGGGTCAAATATCACTCGAAATGGGTTGTCTCCATCCCTTTATAGCAATATAGATATTTGCTTGATCATAGATTGTTACAGATTGCAGGACATCCTATGAAGGCGAACTCAATGCGATATCTTTCTCAATAAAAAAGCAAGCAACTGCTCTTTATGATTTATTTTGAGAACATACATACAAAAGTTATTCCATGTCATGCACTTAAGTATGATAGAATGTAAGATTCTCCTGTTTTATTGTGAGTATGGTGTCTAACTGCAATTAATCCTGCAAATAATGCCTCTGGAGTACTATGTCCTTTCTAAAAAGATATTATGTACAGTAGATATAAACATTCTATTAAGTCTAGTAGAGTTCCTGTTCTCTTTACATCATCATGTGACAATGAAATCACCGTCACATCTTTCATAACATTACCATTATACATTCTGCTGACGTCCTGTGGTTCTACAAAGCACATGATATAAGAAACATTTTTATAAAGCTAAGATCCTCAAAATTCAGTGGCAAAGATGGCAAAGCATCAGCAACAGCCTTTCCCAAATCAACATGTCCAATATCAAGACTTAAAACCAACTCCACTGGGCAAGGTGCCATGACTCGTAAAGCAACTCCTCTATTTGGGATTTAGTTGCAGCAGCAGATGCCCAGAAAGATAACAGAAAAGCTTTTGGGATATCCACAAAGCATTGCTGAAGAGGTTGAACATCGCCATTGAATTACAGGAGAGTGTAACTCACCAAAGTGGAGAAGTTCATTTGGGAAGGCACTGAATGCGTTTGTTTTTAGAGACATACTTGGCCTGAGCCCAGAGGGTCCACTTTCAATCTTGTCAAGTGCACCTGATCTGACTAGACATACCTCTACTATCTCTACACTGCCCCAGTAACAATTTTAGAATGCTGGAAAGGCATTTGGAACACACCAATGGCACGGCTGAAGCAGTTAACACTATGATGATTATCCCAGTACCCATGTTAGCAGTCTGGGAGCTGTGACAATGGCGTGGAGCAGGGTTAGAAGAGCTCCCCAGTACATTCCCACAACTAGGAACGTTACCCAGTGGTGGGACCAGATGCACATTGGCAGACAGCCAATTCAAATGATTAAGACCTTTATTAGGGGCAATTTTTCCAGCGGCCTAATATTTTGTCAGGGATGCAGCAGCCCTTTACTCTTTGGGGTGAGTGGAAGCTTTATGGAGGCAGTCTATCTGCAACTACTCGGGTAGCCTATCATACCCCAGGCTTCATGCCCCAAGGTGGGATACTGTGGACAAGGGAAGTGCCCTTGTGACTCCAGTGTACCTCAAAGACGAGTCTATTCAAGACTGAGACCAATAGATCAAGCAGCACTAAAGGAAATCAAGGGATCTGTGGCAAAGTTGAATTGTATACGTTTGGCCATGATTTTTTTAAATAGTGGAGCAAGCTCAGTCGACTACATGGCCTGTTCTTGCTCCTGTTGCCCTGTTCCTTGTGCCCAAAATGGAGTAAGACAGGAGTAGAGGGATGTGGAGGTGAGTTGGCAAATCATAATCTTGCATGGACCATAAATATCGACCTGTGAGGCCAGGCAACCTGTCTCAGCGGTGTTAATTTCTGTAATCCCTTGGTGCTGTGATAGGACTTGGCTTGTCCCACCAGCTAAACAAAGTCTTGTCATAAATTATATTGACATATTAATCAAACTATGTAATGCAGGTTTCTTGGAATTTAAAGTTCCTTTTGTTCCAATAATCCCATTGCAAGTACAATTCATTCATTCACACCTACCAATTACAGGATTAATGTTGAATCTTTTTGGGAGTAGTTTATTTTCTGTGATTTCTTGTGCCTAGTGGAATAGTTCATCTGAATAAACTAACAGTGATCCCAAACCATCAATAGCAGATGAAATATCTTTTACTTAGATAGTTGGGCCAGTTTCTAATCTTTTCTTTTGAAAGCATGGACTTGTGCTTAGTTACAGCTCTATAATTGCCAATAGCCACACATAAATGGCCATTGTCCATCATTTGTACATGAGCCTTGGAATGTGGGGAGGGGAGAGGCATAAAATCACAGTTAATTTGGGGTGTTGTTTTGATGAACAGAGGCTAAGAATCCTGCAGCGAGTAACTCACCTTGTGTCTGTGTAAAGCTTGTTCACCATCTATAAGATGCAAGTCAGGAATACTCTCCACTTGCCTGGATGAATGCAGCTCCAACAACACTCAAAGCTGGATAACATCTTGAAAAAAATGGCAATTTGATTGGTACCTCATTCACCACTTACAGCATTCACTCCCTTTGCCACCAACACATAGTGGCAATAATGTGTACCATCTACAAGACATACTGCAACAATTTTTCATGCAGATGGTGGTGCATATATGGAATGAACTGCCAGAGGAGGTGGTGGAGGCTGGTACACTTAAAAGTCATCTGATAGGTACATGAGTAGGATGGGTTTAAAAGGATATGATCCAAATACAGGCAAATGGGACAAGATTTATCTAGGATATCTGACAACACCTTCCAAACCTGTGACCTCTACCCTTAAAAGGACAAGGATAGCAGATGCTTGAGAATACCTCCAAGTGTAAGTTCCCAATCGAGTCACACATTGTCCTGACTGGGAAAATGTATAGCTGCTCCTTCACTGTCACTGGCTCAAAATATTGGAATTCCCTCAGAAACTGCACTGTGGGTGTTCCTAAACCACAAGGACTGCAGTTCAAGAAGGTAGCTCACCACCACCTTTTGGGGAGTGTTGCTGAACAAAGAAACCTTGAGGTGCAGGTTCATTGAAGGTGAAGTTGCAGGTAGCCAGGGTAGTGAAGAAAGCATTTGGTACACTTGCCTTTATTGGCCAGTGCGTTGAGTATAGGATTTGGGAGGTCATGTGTCGGCTGTACAGGACGTTGGTTAGGCCACTTCTGGAATACTGTGTTCAATCTTGGTCTCCGTGTTATAGGAAAGATGTTGTGAAACTCGAAAAGATTCAGAAAAGATTTACAAGGATGTTGCCAGGATTGGATGGTTTGAGGTATAGAGAGAGGCTGAATAGGCTGGGGCTATTTTCCCTGGAGCATCGGAGGTTGAGGGTGACCTTATAGAGGTTTATAAAATCATGAGGGTCATGGATAGGGAATAGCCAAGGTCTTTTCCCCAGGGTGGGGAGTCCAAAACTAGAGGGCATTGGTTTAAGGTGAGAGGGGAAAATTTAAAAAGGACCCAAGGGGCAACTTTTTCATGCAGATGGTGGTGCATATATGGAATGAACTGCCAGAGGAGGTGGTGGAGGCTGGTACACTTAAAAGTCATCTGATAGGTACATGAGTAGGATGGGTTTAAAAGGATATGATCCAAATACAGGCAAATGGGACAAGATTTATCTAGGATATCTGGTCGGCATGGACGAGTTGGACTGAAAGGTCTGTTTCAGTTCTGTACATCTCTGTGACTCTAAGAGATTGACAGATTTCTGACTACGAATGGCAAATAGGGTTATGGGGATGGATGAGTAAAGGCATTGAAATATTCAATCAGTCACAATTGTATTGGCATGGATAGAGGATTAGTTGACTGGTAGAAGGCAGACAGTGTGGATAAAGGGTTCTTTTTCAGTATGGCAGTTGGTAACTAGTGGAATTCTGTATGGGTCCATATTGGGACCATAACTGTTAACGTTACACATCAATATAACAGACAAAGAAACTGAAGGCATTGTTGCTGAGTTTGGAGATGAGACAAAGATAGTGGAAGGACAGGTAGTGCTAAGGAAGCAGGGAGGCTGCAGAAGGTGTTGGACAGGCTAGGAGAGAGGGCAAAGATGTGGCAGATGGAATACAATGTGGGAAAATGTGAAGTTATGCACTTTGGTAGGAAGATTAGAGGCATAGATTACTTTCTAAATCAGGAAAGACTTCGGAAATCTGAAGCACAAAAGGACTTGAGAATCCTAGTTCAGGACTCTCCTAAGGTTAAATTGTAGGTTTAGTTGGCAGTTAGGAAGGTAAATGCAATGTTAACATTCATTTCAAATTTCTACAATATAAGAGCAGAGATGTACTGCTGGGGCTGTACAAGGCTCTGGCCAGACCGCATTAGGAATATTGTGAGCAGTTTTGGGCCCCATATTTCCAATGAAGGATGTGCTGGCCTTGGAGAGGAT